TACTTAACACTAATTTTTTAAAGAGACTTAATAAATTTCTCCCTGACCGGTATCTAAAATGCAGGCCATTTCCCTGTTAAGTCTCACTCAGAGGTGTCTCTGAAAAGCCTCAATAGTGTTTCATAAGAAGACATGGGATCTTGAGATGGAGAAATATATTTACCGGCTAGGAAAGCCAAGATTCAAAGAAGGCCGGTAAGTTGCTAGGTCCCAGAGCAATTCAACGGCAAAACTGCGCTCGAACTCAGGAGTCATATCTCTTTCCTTAGAGTGGATTTGTCCCAGAAGGTTGTTTACACTGCCCCTGGGTCACTGGTCACTGAGGATGTTCATGGCCAGAGCTGAACTTTGTGTCTCAAAAGGAAATACAATAAACATGCTGTCAGCTTACAGGCTTAGCCCTGACCCCTCAACACCCACCAAATGGAAGAATCAGATGCCTTGCTTTAATCTTCTTGGCTTTGCCCTCAGAGTAGTGGAATGTATGATAGATGCACCTGACAGCAATAACTTAAGCATACCCTGAGAATGACTCTACGGTCTACAAAGAATGTGTGTTCAGTGTTCCAAGCTAAGGAATCAAGAACCTGGAGATTCATTCCTTATCTATGAGGAACATCTGAACCCCAGCCCATCCTGGGAAACGCAGGCCATATCGGGGATTGAGGCCCTTTGTTTTGTGTTAAATGAAGGTTGCCAGGTGAAGGTCACCAGCAGGAGGGTGTTAAGTAAAAATGCTACATAAACTGCATGCATTTTACAAGCAGTTGCAATTTCCTGTCCAGCCTGCCACCACCGGACAGCCCGGTATGTAAGTGCCCTCAATAAACCCTAAGTCTTGTTTGCTGCCTCCAGGCCTCTTCTTCAACCTCTTAAACATGGTGCCATCCCTGTTGAAGTCAATAGGGGTCTGGCATGACATGAGGAAGGGGAAGGTCCTACACAATGAACTAGTGATTTTGTGTAACTCCCATCACAACCATTTGACCTCTCTCAACAACAAGAATTCTAAAATAAAAACCACATGAAGGAAAAACAAGAGCGAAAATGGCAAGGATTCATGCCCTCCCCTACCCTCTAATTCCCCTATCTGTCCTTACTCTCTAGAAAACTGTTAAAATTATTCCCATAACCTCAGCTGGCTCAGTGCAGAGTCCAGCCCCAGTGTGCCTCAATCCCTTGGGGAACATCTGCTGAGTCCTTCCGTGGCACCTCCTGGGGCACTGAGTCAGGCACTGTGTGTGAGGCAAAGATGACTAAGGTACCCTCACAGCCCTCAAGGTGTTTGAGGGCAGTAGAGGAGATAAGGAATGGGAATGAGCAAAAGTAAGTGATGTTGGAAGAAGAACAGTCTCTGAGCTCTGGGAGGGGTCCAGGCAGGGCTGGGGACACTGGGGAGCATGAGGTCACAATCACTCTCTGACTCTGCTAGGCACTGGGCCCCAGGTCACGCCAACAGCCCAGACCAATATGGGCACTGCGAAGACTTCCCCTTAAGAAAGGACCCAGTCAACAGTTATGACTACTACTAGGAGCAGTACTAGTAGTAATAACCATAATAATAGCAGCAATAACAACAGTATCTTACAGTAATGAACAGTTCCTCTATTCTAAGCACTTTTCATATATCATCCCATTTAATCCTCATAACCTTACAAGATAGATACTATACTACCATTACTCACCTTTTACAGATGAGAAAACTGAGCCATAGGGAGGTTCTTTTATTCGTTCTTTCAACAGCTATTTTTTCAGTGTCTACCGTGAACCTGATACCACTCCAGCAGTGACAAGCAGACAGACAAAATTCCTGTCTGTCTACTTGTAGATGGTACATACATTCTTGTGGGAGATAAACAACTTGCCCAGTGTTCTCAGCTTGTTTAAGTAGGGAACTCAAGATTCAAACTCAGCCCCTCTGACTGTACAACTTATACTTGCAAACTCCCAAGATGAAAGCTGCCTGTTACTTATACTCATCATTAATAGTAAAATATTACATTTCCTCTATTTTAAGATGCATGTGTTTTTTACATGTTAATGTGTGAAATCTGGCTTCATTTTATCATATATGTTCAAAGAAATCTGTGGGCTGCACGCAGAGTAAGTCATAATTGCTGTTATGCTGTTAAGTGTGGATTTAGCAGAACACAAGTTATTTGATTACCAACCCAGCTGAGTTTTCTGCAACTGTTAACATTATATGCCATTGAATTTTAACTTAAGATTCCTAATATTACTTCAAATACATTTTTAAATTCCACTATAAAACAGTATTGAAAGGAAAGGTTATTATGCATGCAAGAGATTGCTTGTCACACACAATGTAATTAAAGGGGGTAGAAATCACTAAATCTCCTGGAGCAGACACAGAATTTTCAAAGCCTAAAGGACTAGCATTAAAATGAAAAACATCCAATTGTCAGAAGCTTCCAGCTATTTAACTTCCAGCAAGACATGATCAATTATGGAGAAATAAAACTATGAGGTTAGCCAAAGAGAAAATGTAGCCCAAGCCCCACTATTCTTTGATAAACCTCAAAATTACACTGCCAACCTTAATGGTACTAAAGGGATCAAGATCATGAAAAGCAGCACATAATTCTGAAGTTACATATAACTTCCAAGAAGCAAATATGAAATAGAACTTCGTTAATCTGAAAAATACCTATACTCCAAATTCTGGCTATACAGAAAGAGCAACTCATATGTAAGCATATGAATTATTGAGCAACACTGCAAACAATGTTTAAGTGTATACATTTAAAGTCATGTTTCTTTGTTTCTAGAAAGATATAATTAACTCAATGGCATATTTTACCATTATCAATGGCAAAATTGATACCATTATCATTATTAATGGTGCCTAAAAACAGATGATTGTGGCAATTACAATGACAACTGCCATTTATTGAGCACCTGCCAAACACTCTATTTGGTATTTTATATCCATTATCTCTAAGCCTCGTGACAACGCTATAGAGGAGGGACTCAGAATTCCCATTTTAAATTTAAGGAAACTAAGGTTGAAAGAGACTAGTGACTTCTCAAAGTCATATAGCCAGAAAGCAGACACTAGAACCAGGTTTGCCTGTGTCCAAAGCCCAAGTGGTTTTCAGGGCACTAAAATGCCTCTCCCTATTAACAATCCACCCCTACTCCCACCGAGACACAGCAAGCACAGATTAGCCTTCATGTGCAGAAAACTTTCTATGATCTCAAGAGCAGGATGGGCCAGCATGAATTCAAAGTAATAGGGTCCCCCACTCTCAACCCACATACCCCAGGATGATTCAAATCCTGCTGTTTATATGAGTGCTTCCATTTTCTCACTCTACACTTAGAACATAATCAAGGGGGCCCCAAATTGACCAACTGACTCAATATTCACATAGCCAATCAACTGACTGGTTCATTCCTTCCAATTGTGCCAATTTGGTAGCAAAATCAGAGCAGACAGTAAATATGCTTGGTAAGAAGGAAGGGCATCCTCTCAGTTTCTGACCTTAAGGCAGGAAGGGTCCTATGTGCACATATGCATTCAAGGAAGCTGAGGTCTCCCTGAGCCTAAGGGAGAGTCCAGTTGATTGTGCCAGTCACCTTCTGGGGATCCACTGCTAATCTCAGGGAAGCCCACAGTTTTTAACAAACAACTGTTTTTCTTCTTGATCAAACTTTTCCAGGATGGCAGGCAGGGGTTCGTGAATTCTACCCCATTCTCTGGACATGCGAATACAATTTCATCTCGTATATAAAATTCTTATCAATGTTTCTCCTGAAATATTCCCTCAAGAAAGAGCCTCAAGCTTGGATGCAAAGAGTGAACTAAGACATTCAAAAACCATGTATTGAGCATCTCTGAGGGTACAGAAAGGAATAAGATGTAGTCCCTACCATCAAGGAACTCAGTTGAATGTGGGAGGAGGATCAGCTCAGAACTAACTATGTACAATGAAAAGGAGAACAAGGTGAGTGTTATCCTGAAACACAGAGGAGGAAGGGATTAATTCCAGGTGCAGGGTAAATAATAAACTGGGCTAATACTGATTGAACACCTACTAGGTACCAAGGATTATACCAGGCATTTTACATATATTATCCCAATTAATTGCCTTGTGGAATATGTTCTAATACTATAATCTTCACTTTACAAAATGAGGAAACAAAGAAGAGGCAAAGTACCTCACCCAAGGTCCCATAACTAATTTGTAAATACTGGAGCTGAGATTTGGACCCTGCTGGCCAACACCGAAGCTTATGTTATTTTCACTATAGTAGACTACATCTACCAGCACAGAGACATTTTTCCTGGTAGAAGAGGAATCTGAATTTGCTTCCTCTTCTGTAATGTGGGGACAATAGCAATGCCTGCTTCACCGGGTTATCGTAGAGGGAATGAGCCCAAGAACATAAAGCATTCAGCATAGTGTTTGGCAAACTGTAAGTGTTCAGTAAATAGTGACAGCTTTGTCGTCATCGTCATCACTGTCATTTCTTCTCTAAAGAGTCTAGAATGTAGCCGTCATGAGCCAGAAAGTCTTTTTTTTTTTTTTATTTTTAAAGGGATTTAAAAGAAAAAAAAGCTGTTGTTTTTCTCTGAAAGAAAAGAAAAGATTGGCCGGGCGCAGTGGCTCACATCTGTAATCCCAGCATTTTGGGAGGCCAAGGCAGGCAGATTGCCTGAGGTCAGAAGTTTGAGACCAGTCTGGTCAACATGGTGAAACCCTGTCTCTACTGAAAATACAAAAAATTAGCTGGGCGTGGTGGCAGATGCCTATAACCCCAGCTACTCAGGAGGCTGAGGCAGAGGAATCACTTGAACCCGGGAGGCAGAGGTTGCAGTGAGCCAAGATCTCACCATTGCACTCCAGCCTGGGCGACACAGCGAGACTCCATCTCAAAAAAAAAAAAAAGAAAGAAAAGATCTCACCAAACCACAAGTCCTTCCCATGACCACCTGACGAGTGAGGTTCCTGTTTCCCCAATGAGCCACGTCATACCTTCTCTTCTGAAGAAACGGTCAGCTTGTCGCTGGATATCAAGCTGCACACCTGGTCCAGACTCAGGCTAAGAAATTCTTCTCCTAGCATCACCTCTGGAAAGTGCTGCTCTGTTCCAAAAAAAAAAAGCAGAACAAAACAAAGTTATAACACATTCCTGCCCTTCCAAGACAATCTGTGGGATTCACAGTAGAGTCCTGGAGGGGGCCGGGGGGGCCATGGAGGGAAAGGGAGTGAAACAAAGACAGAGACCTCATGGCTGGAGGGAAACTTGCCTTTTAATTCAGCAGTGATGGCATCCACTATGATCCTCTGTCCTGAACATCAACACAGACGAAAATGGGGCAGACAGATCTGAGTTTGTATTTTTTCCATGCTCCATGAGATTAATAATAGCATTGCAGAAAAGCCTCACTGGGACCTGCCTCCATAATTGAGCTCATTTCCCCTCAGAGTGTAAGCTGGTGGAGTTGCAGACAGTGCACCCTGAAGCTCAGCCAAACAAAAATGGGTCAGAACTGTTGTGTGTCTGAGAGATCTCTGGGGGTTCTTATAGGAAGTCAACATTAGAAGGTCAGAAGACGGGATCATTCTTTCTTGCCCAAAGTCAAGCCTACTATTGTGAGTCTCTGGTTCATGAGGAGGCCCAATTAAGCATTCATCCAGGTGTGGTGGCAACAAGGTGACCCCACCACCCCTAGAACAGTCGACGGAGCCAGGCCTATGGAACTGTAAGACAGAGGGGAATGTGGTGACAACTAGAATAAGATAAAACCCACAGGCCGAAGGTCCACAGAAGGGAAATGCCAGGAACAATTCCTACCCTGACATTTTTCCAGCTCATCATCCTGCTATTAGAGAATTATATTCACTGAAATGTCATCTACTTCAGAAAGAAGGAGCCTAGGTTCAAACCCTGGCTTTGCCATTTATGATTATGTTTTTGGGCCAACGGCATCATTGCTATATTGCCCAGGTTGGTCATGATCTCCTAGGCTCAAGTGATACTCCTGCCTCAGCCTCCTGAATAGCTGGGACTATAGACACAAGCCACTGCACCTGACTTCATTAACTTCATAAAAATCAAACAAATAATTTAAGATTTAAATCATTTCTTGTGAAAATCATTTTTAACTTTTTATATTGAAAGAATTTCAGACCCAAAGAATTCTCACACAAATTTCTACCTTCATCCAGATTCCCTAAACGTGAATAGTTTATTCTCAAATACTGAGTTATAAATAATATTTTCCATCTTCCACTGGACAAAAAAGCCTCCCCACTTGCTCCACACCAGCCTATTGATATTACCATGGTCACAACTAAAGGTTGTCCATCTTGAGACTCAGAAATATTTACACATAATAAGACAAATCTGAAAGTCAGTTTCTTTATGAAGGGAACCAACTGTCAACATCAACATGGTAAGAAGCTGGTCTTTGCTTCTCTGTATATCAATACAAAAAAAAGTCTTTAATTTTTAAGTGAAACATTCAAAAAACCTTCTTAACTATGGAAATATTTAAGACTAGATAGTATTATTTTTTAAGTGTTCATTGCTAAAGATCTTAAAATAAAAGCAAGAGAGCAATCTTCTTTGGATGGTGAGAATTTATTCTTGGGCTGGAGGCTGGGAAAGTACTGGATTCTCCCTCCATTCCCTTTCTGATCCAAAAAGTCTTTGAACCACAGTCCCCTGTCGATTGGTAACACCCAAGAAACAGCAGATAGAAACAGTAGTCACCACACAAGCCACCACACCATGAGCAAGCACAGGACATTGAGGCTCTCTGGACCAGCCACAGCTGAGCTCAGCAGGACCACATGGTTCTAAGGAGAGTCCCGCAAACTAGCACCAACATCTCTGGCCCAGAGCCACATCTGGCCTTCCCACATGTATCTTTGGCTGACCAAAAACCTGACAGCTGGAGAAGGGAAAAGAACAAGGGGAGGTAAGAAAGTAAAATTCTATGCTGTGAAATAAAAATTTCCTTAGAGCTCATAAGGCTGTAGATAGGCTTCGATTTTAAAAGGGAAGATAAAAGAAGTGCAGTAATGTATATTCTAGGTGATGTGGGGAACAAATTAGAAATCCTTAGAGATAAATCAAGACAGAAAGTAGTCAGCACCCCACCTCCATCTCTCTGTCCCTCCCCTGCTGCAAGGTTTGAATCTAAACCCTTTCTTTCTGAAGTGGGCCACTTCTCTGCCCATCTGGAAACCTTCCATTGAAATCCCATTCAGAAATCCTCCCAGGAAGCAGTATCTAGTGGGGAAGGGGCACCAAGAGAAATAGCAGGCAGCAGCTTTTCATCCAGGGCTGGCACCCAGGGATCTGTGAGGTTTGTAGGGCATAAGCGGAAAGAGACAAAGAAAGGGATCGAAGAGGAAAATGCCTTCCCTTTTCCATTTAGTCTGAGGAGACAGGGGTAACCCCCAAAGTCTTTGAACTAGGGTCCCCTCTCTGTTAGCAACACTCAAGAAACAACAGGATAGAAAAGACAGAAACAGGATGCTCCAGCTAACTCCATTTCCTGGGAAATAGGATTTCCCCAGAAGACTTTGTATTCCAGTCAGCCCTCCCCACAGCTGCTTCCTGGAAAGAACCCACTTTGCTCCCAGAAGATACCTTCCTGAATCATCTTCTATTTTGAACAATTATTTGGGTTTTTTGTTTTGTTTTGCTTTTAATGTATTAATGGAGAATATAGTAAAGAGCCTTGGCTAAAGGGTCAGAAGACCTGGGCTCACGTCTTATAGTCACTTCTTCCCAGGCTTTGCCATCCATTTTATGAAGGATGAATATTATCAGCCTGTGTTCCCGCTTTCCAAAGTCCGGTTCTGTGAGCAGTAACATTTTTTTTTTTTTTCTTTGAGATGGAGTTTCGCTCGTTGCCCAGGGTGGAATGCAATGGCACAATCTTGACTCACCGCAACCTCCGCCTCCCAGCCTCCCGAGTAGCTGAGATTACAGGTGTCCACAACCACACCCAGTTGATCTTTTGTATTTTTAGTAGAGACAAGGTTTCACCATGTTGGTCAGACTGGTCTCAAACTTCTGACCTCAGATGATCCACCCGCCTCAGTCTCCCAAAGTGCTGAGATTACAGGTGTGAGCCACTGCGGCCAGCAGCACCACTCTTTAACAGAAAAGATTTTCTGTATAATCAAGATATCCCTTGGAGCCAGGCACAGTGGCTCACACCTATAATCCTAACACTTTAGAAGCCTGCACAGGAAGATCATTTGAGGCCAGGGGTTCAAGACAGGCCTGGTCAATAAAGTGAGGCCCCCTCTCTATTACAAAAAAAAAATGTAACACATCCTTTGGGACTGCAGGTCCTATGGGCAAGGCTGTGCACCTGCAAGATCTTAGAGACCAAATTTAATTCTATCGAATTCAGCAAACTGTCCAGTGATATAGGTTATTCAGTACCTGAGGCTGCAGGTTTCCCATATATTAAATGGAAATAATAATAGTACATATCTCATAAAGGTGATATGGGCATTAAATAAAGAAATAGATGTAACTCACATTTACTGAGTCCACTGCAGGTGCTAGATAACTCATAATGTATGATGTATCAAATGCAGCATTTCTTCAAAAATGAAGAAACTAGAACTGATGTCTACAAGCAGCCTACTGCCTCACAAGCAAGACAAAACAAGGCACCAATAACTCCATCCCAAAGTCTACCTCTCACATGACTCAGAGAGGTACTTTCAGTACAAACAAAGACAGGGAACAGGAAAATTCAGAGCATGTGTAAAGAACAGTAATAGTGAAGTCTAGCTAGAACCTAGGTGATGTCTTCATTCATCCAACAAAGGTTTGCTGAGCACTCCCTAAGTATGAGGAGCTCTGCCCGGCTTTTGGAGATGCAACGGAGAGGCAGACAAGGCTAGATTCTGGGGGAAGAATGCATGTGCCAGGGGGCATAGTACCTTTTAACCATGGGCTAGCCCTTGAAGGGTAACTCTCCAATAATAACTAACTTTTCTTATCGTTTTGCATCTTTTTCTTAAAGAGGAGTGGACACAGAGAAAAATAAGTCAGTTAATTAAGAGTTCTGGTTAAGAGTCCTAGTTAACCAGGCTTTACTATAAGTAACAAATATTGTTTAAGTTCCATATCCTGCTTGGTAAAACACAATGAGTATGTTCCTGTCCATGTGGATGGGAAATTATGGAGAAGAGGAAGAGGCACCATATAACTTTCAGTCTTTTCCCCATCCAAGCAACACAAACATATCTTCCCAATGTTAAAAGGATGATAAAATTTGGGTGATACATTCCCAGGCAAGGGCTTTCTCTGGGGATACAGTTGCATCTTGGAGAAAGTTGAGGCCATTTCCTAATACTAGCTAACATCATTCTAAGCATTTTACATATATTATGTCTCTCAATCCCCACAAAAGCCCTACTAAAGTGAGTATCAACATCCCCATTTTACAGATGGAGAAACAGAAGCTCAGAAAGTCTAAGACATGTGCTTAGGTTTACAGAACAGTAAACCTGGTAGAGCCAGGTTTTGAAAACAAGACTGCCCAATTGTAATAACAAATATTCTGATGAGTATCTTAGGTACCAAGATAAACACCAATCCTGAGCAGTCCACTGGGATAAAATTCAACACAAACATCAGAAAACCTTAAGAATCCCTCTCGGGGTGCTGGACATAGAAAGAGACAGAGAAAGGCATAGACAGAGGATATGCATCTAAAAACCTTTTTTTGGGGAAAAAATAGAATAATCTTAGTCCCTAAATTCCTAACTTCTTGGCATTTTGGAGTCAGTTCTGGGTTCAAATCTCAGACCTAACACCGGAATTAAGATATTTCCCTAATCCCTCCATCCACTAGGCCAGAGGAAATGATAGTCTTTGGGGTTCCCAAAGCCCCTCAAACAAGAAATAAAAATCATATCCCTAATCACCCTGCTTTATTACATGAATCTTTCTATTCTATTGGGACTGGGAGCCCCATGAGGTCAGGGACCAAGTCTGTGTTATTTGAAGCTGAATTCTCAGTTTCCAGCATAATATCTGTATATATTGAGCTCTAAAATTATTACTGCACTTTCCTGACTGTTCTTCAAGACTGCCTAGGGC